TCTCTAAAGCATTTGAATGCCTGAATGACGAGGAAAAAAGAAGAAGGTATGACCTCTCGGGCATAGAGGAGCCTGTCGTTGACAACGTTCAGGATCAAGATGTAGACGAATAAGATGTAGACGAAGATGATTTCTTAAGAATGGTTTTTTGGCATGTCTCCAAGAATGTTTTGGGATTTCTAATTTAATGGGATTTCCATCTGGCCCTATGGTTCAGGGTTTGTGGTGGAGATATTTCATTGGGTTTTTTTAGTGATATGGTGGTCTCTATGCTAATAATATGGTGCAGCTAGTGGATATGGTGTAGCAAGTGAATATGGAGTTTGTGATGCAAAATTGCAGGGAGGGGTGGCAAGACCTCCACTATGGCTAACTCCCTTTGTATACCTAATATATCATAATAATCCCTCTTCCTTTGAATTTCTCTCACGAGAGCAACTTCCTCCTCCGTGTAGCCCGCCGCGGGTACAGAAGAGGATGATGGGGTCGCGGTGGACCAATGCGGCGGCGACGAGTGCGATTTACATAGTTGCCCATCGTGAATCAACAGTTAGGGCACGGGCACGGGCAGTGAGGTTTTGAACACAAAGGGAATGTGGATTTCAATTAGGGCCAGTTTGGATTGGATTGAGCTTCATGCATTAACATTTGGGAACTCAAAGTGTTCTTTTGTCAGGTTCTTTATAGTTGGGCTTAGATGGAAAAGGCCCATTATATTTGTTGCACACAGTTCAATCTTGACCCACTAAACTCTGTCTTATCCTGCTGCCAGCCTGCTATAGAATATCATCGTCTGATTGAGGGTATCATGGGCAACTCAAAATCAATATCTTAAAGGTATGGTTTCATTTTGTTCAATATCTTAAAGGTATGGTTTCATTTTGTTCAATATCTTAAAGGTATGGTTTCATTTTGTTCTTCTTTTACTCCAATTACCAACTTATTATTTAGTTCTTTATTATCTTACATTAAAAGCCTCATTTTTTTTATTGCTTAAATATTGATTTAGGAAACATTTGATTATTATTATTATTCTTTCTTTTTTTTTTTGTGGGTTGTTTATATTTTCAGGGAGGAAATTAATGAATTATAAACAAAGAAATATTGTTATGATTAACAATCTATATGGGAAAGAAAAAGGGGTGGTTCACTTGTGTGAAGTGCTTTTTCACATCAGAAGAACCGAAACCAAGAAAATCAGAAACAAAACAGGTGATAACTGATAACAAATTCAAAAATAATCCCATTTTTCTCTTATACAATCTTCCTAAGTTGATCAATTTATTCATTTTTTTTTTTTT